CGTACATTTTGCACTACACAGCTCATTCTACTTTATTCTGGACATTCTTCATTGTTATTCTTCATATTCTACTTAATTCTGCATATTTTCCTATATTTTACACATTATCATTTATTTTGCGCATTCTCTTTTATTCTGTACTTTATTCCTTTCCTGTTCTTTAGTATTTGCCAAGTTTTAATGCTGTTTAGGATCATGATATTAGCGTTTATTCTGCTTATTGTCTGACGTAAATAACCTCTTAAATACCTTGTCAACAACAACTGTAATAGACGCAAAGAAAAGATGCTGCGTCATGTGTTGTATTAAGTGTCAGTCTAGTGGTTATGACAGATCCGTCTTAAATAAGCAATGAGGCTTATGAGCATTTTACCTACATGAACTTTCCGATGATTCAGGCTGCAAAAATGTAGACGGCGCCGAAGATTTCCCATTTCTATTCATTTATTTGATTATTTTATGCTTTTTTGTGCTTTGTACAACATTAAATTAATTGATATGTATTTACGTATGGATACATCTAAATAGTTTACCTGTATATTTGTACGTATTTAACTCTATTTTTGTACACATAACACACACATACACACACATACACACATATATATAAATCTGTCTTTAGATCTAGTTAAATTTTTGAGGCGTGTAACTTAAACTAAAATCTCACATAGCAACATGCAAGAAATAATCATCCCACGCATGAAATGAATGATGATCGATTGTTAAATGTTGGAGAATTTATCTTTTTAAATGTATGCTAATGTTAGCAATCCCTAACTAGAAAACAATATATATATATATATATATATATATATATATATATATATATATATATATATATATATATATATATCTATATATATATATATATATATATATATATCTATATATATATATATCTATATCTATATATATATATCTATATCTATATATATATATCTATATATATATATATCTATATATATATATATCTATATATATATATATCTATCTATCTATATCTATCTATATATATCTATATCTATATATATATATATGCACTTTTGATAGTCATTGTATAAAAAAGCGTATTAAACAAATGTGTATGCACTGTATTTAAAATTCATAAATAGATAATGTTAAATCCTCCTAATAGATAATCGAGAATAGTGCACTGTGTGAGTGATTAGTGTTTTTTTATTATGATAAACTATGGAGCTTACATTACATTTTTTATACAAAAGTATGCCGAGCCGATTTACGGCAGATCGTAAATTCACCATGATTTTACCATGTGTCATACACGTTTTGTTGTCTTTGTCACTTTATGTCAAAACAATATTCTCTGAATTATTAAAATTACATTAAATATTATTTGTTATTATTCAATAAAAAAAACAAAAGTCGGAAGTACCCTAATATCCCCAGCTTTCATAGCTCTGCGACGTAGCTCGGCAACATTTGACTTGCATCGATGATGTATTGATAGTCATCACGATATTTCAAGCTGCACAGTTAACACCGATGTTACAAAATCTTGTGTGCCATAGTGCTATGTGGATGTGGCTACCAGGTAGTCATTTTGAATTGTATAAGACGCCACTAACGTACGCTACTAACCTACGTTGAAGATTGTGAATAGTGGTTAACTCTTCTCCATTTAACTGCAGCTGAACAACTATCGCTAGTTTGACAATAAATGGTTTGTGTTCTGTATGTACCAAGAACGTTTTCTGATATATTAGGCATGGACAAGATCCTTACGGGTACGGACTTAATATGTGATTTTTAAAGCCAAACCCTATGATATAAATTAACGGATAAAACTAGGTCATGCTGGGCATAGTTTGCCCACCCATGAGACGCCATTCGAACCAATTCGAATATTTCCGAAATAAGCATTGACTAAGACATTGCGAATGCAGGAACATTAATTAACTCCTAACTTCATGCTCTCAAACCAAATCGTAAAAATTGCCGACTATATTGATGTTTCCTTTTTTTAGCAAAGGACAAAATAAATGGTTTTCCTGTAAATTACGGAGCCAAGATATATTCCAGGCATACTTTGTTCTAGCAGAAATACTCCAGGTAGTCCGAATATTATTTCGTCTGGTACCATATACTTTTTGCTGACTTTATCTTTTCTTCCGCACTAATGTTATTTCTCAAAAAGCGAATGAACCCAGACTTTAAATATACACAAGTGGAGACATACTTTGATATAAATTGGAGGTAACATAAGATTTAATGTATGTAGAAAATATATTCTTGTTTATGAATGTACGTTTTGGTGTTTCATGAGATAACACAAATGCTATAATTGTTGAATCGACACATTATCATATAAAAAAAACTGACACCGTAAGATGACATCGTTTTTCATATTATTAATACCGACCGTACATCACGTCTGAAAAGTCATTTTAGTCTAGAATCACAAGCTAATTTTCTGATCATTTTGAAAACAATTTAAATCCAGAAAAGGGGTTTCTCTTATTGTCATTTGTCACTCGTCTTAACATATTAGTTAAAGGTCGTTCTTTTTTTCAGGCGACAAACAATTTGGATAAGAAAAGAATTAGAAATCAATGTTGACAGTGGATACGAATAAATACTGGTGTTCTTTCCTTTGATAATGACGCTGGTCGGCCTTGGGGATACTTAACACAGAAGGACAGCCAATTTAACTGTCTTCCGATAAGTCGTGTTACAAAGTTACGGAGTTGTGTCCGCATTAAAGCCTTCAGTTTTGCCTTGGATTTACCTCAGGCTTACGTCAGTTCTACACAGGTAAGATATCATATTTTCACCTGTTTCACGATCAAATCTGAAACAAACCACACTGTGTTAAACAAAGGATTTGACTCGTCTTTTGATACACTATAGCCATAATGATACCATCGTTCGAGACCTCATTAAATTCTCCTGTAATTATTGGTCGCGTATTTTCAAGCATGGCATTCCTTTACAGTACATTTATCAAAGATCTGAGACATCTTGATTAGTGGAGGATTTAAATCGTCTTTCAACAATCACACACACACACACATACACGCACGCGCGCGCGTGCTAAATAATACAAATCTTTTCAATGGTGCACATTGTAATTTCTTTACGTTGGTACTATTTGCCCAAACAGACAGAGACACAGAGCCAAATCCTTCGAGTTAAAACGGATAGATACATGTTACAGTATGTAGATTCCACAACCCTCACCCCCCAAAAAAATCCTCCAAAAAACAAAACAAAACGACAGAACACCAGAAAGCATGAAATCAGTTTGGGTTTATAATCATGCAAAGCAAATTGGAAACGAAGACGCACATGTTTTACCTGTAGACATTTTCGTGAGTATTTTTCTGCCAGTACACAATATAAACCCAATTCCAATACATTTTGATTCCTTTCAAAATTCAAACACTATTCCGTTACTAGCATATCTGAGAAGACTACATTCTGCTTTCATCCATTCTCGTACATCTAAGAGGATTACGCAACTATCATTAAAATGTAAACGGTGAGTGCTTGTCATTTTTGTTTACACAAAATGACATCATAAACGAGGAAACCGCTTTACCTATTAAACATAATCTGTCTTAAGTTAAATAACAATCTTTAATTTCATTTTAAGTCATAATAAATGCCATGAAGCTGTCGTATTCAGAAAAATAAAAACCCTGTCCTTATGATTTAGATGAAGCAAGCGACTTTTGATTTTTTTAATGAGAATAAAATATAAAAACAATTATAGTTTTTGCATACTTAATGTCATCGTGCTACTTCAAAGTGATTTTAGTTGCGTGAGATTCTTCAATAAGAATTAGATGAATAGACATGTCAGTAATAAAAGGTCTGTTTTGAGAATTTTTTTTAAAAGATTCAATTCTAAAAGATTCAACGAGTCAAAAGGTCGATACATGTCCTGTCTATATCAAAGTCAGCCTGGGTTCGAGTCTCAGGTTCGGCCAGCATGGTTATGCGAGAAAGCTTGCCAGTAAATTTCCATGGGTCCTTGGTACATTTCGTTATTTGTCCATGCTCTTCATCCATCAGATATACTGTCCACCATGTCTGACCTATAATGTGTTACAAAATGGCGTTAAGCCCAAAACAACTATGACAACAACAACTGAGTGAGGCAACCCACAAGTTATACTGTGGAAGAAGAAGAAACTGATGAAAAATATGGATATGATTATGACGACGGTGAATAATGATAGAGGTATGTTGTTGTTGTAGGGTTTAACGCCATTTTTTCAGCACAAGATAAGCTATACATGGCGGCCAGTATTAATGTTGGAGGAAGAACCTTGGAAAACCAGGGAAGAACTACCGACCTATTAGAAGCTACTGACAGGCTTTCTCACTTACCCAATTAGGCCCAGTCTGGACCCGAACTCAGGCAGACAGAGGTGATATAGATGTAGGAATTATAATGAAGGAGGTGATTAATGATAAAGATCAGAATTATAATGACAAATCTGATTGATGATAAAGATGGGGACGATTATGGCGAAGGTGGCTGATGATGAAGACATAGATGATTATGACGAATATGATTATTGATAAAGTATAAATGATTATGAAAAGTGCGATTGATGATACAGATTGGGGATGATTATGACGAAGGTGATTGATGATACATATATCCACTTTTTAAATTGACAAACGGAACTTGCCGATTACAAAAGGCTTTTTAAATAATTTATATTGATTAAATTAAATGTCTGAATTTTGTGCTAAATTTTTCCATTACTATCCTACTCTGCAAAATCTGGTGGTTTTGGTGGTGTTTATAATTTGTAACATAGCTTTAGTAATTTTTCAGTCATATGATATCGCTACGATGTCTGCAGTGTGGCAGTTTATAGTGATGTCTAGCACTGGGAAATCGTGCCGCAGACATGTAGCATGATTTCCCACCCAGTCACATTATCCTGACACCAGGCCGACCATTCCTAACACTAACCTCTTAATGCTGAGCGTCAAGCGAGGCAGCTGTTAGTACTATTTTTGTAAGTCTTTGGTATGGCTCGAACCAACGACCTCCCGCATCCGAGGCGGACGCTCTAACCACTAGGCCACCTGAGCGGTTTACAAAATCTGGCATGTATGTTGAAAGTATCTTCACTACAATTACTGGATTTGGTTTTAAGTTGGGGACCAATTGTCATGTTCATTTCAGTTTGTTTCATCAAGGGCAAATAAAATGTTCTGTATTAAATTTACGTATTTTTTCCCGAATGCCAAAATTTTTATTGGGACAAATTTATTAAAATGATTGAATAACAGATATACCATTTTTTGTATTATAGCAAATTGTTGAAGATGCTGGAGTAAACAAATGAATACAATATTTTAACAGTTACAAAATGTAGTTTGTTGTTTTTCTTCTGCATTAAATAGTAGTTAACTCTGAAGGAAACGTCAGTATACTTTAACTAACTCATGTATTTTAACAATTAAAAGTTTTAAGATTGTCTGTCAAGTAGGGATACAAAAAACTTTGTTTAAAATTACGTCATATATAGAACATATATGACAAAATAACCAAGTTCTGAATTTTTGGTGTTTCTAAATCTGTGAGTCTGAAAATAAGCATTTGCACAGATATTACATCGTCTTTGAAATCATCACATTATAAGAGATTATCATGCTTATTGATAGTACTTCTTTTTTGAAATCATCCGTCTATGCGACATTAAAAAGCAGATAAATTAAATACAGAAAGTAAAAAAAAGAATGGAACAACTTTTACTAAGCAGCATACATCAAATAATGATTCATATTCTCAAAATCCGGCTGGCGTCTTAATGCAGTAATGTATTTTTTAAAAAATAACAAAAAAAAAAAACAACAATATTAGCTGTTTCGATGCTAATTTATCGCGAAAGTCTTGCTAGAGTACCTTTGTAAGCATGGGTTTTCAGTTCCAAAAATTCTGTACATCGATGAGTTGATCTAAACTCAGTATTAAATTACAGCAACTTCCGCAAATTCAATTTAATGGATGACGCCAAATCCATCTGCCTTAATAAATTAACTGATTAAACTGCTTTGGTTATATCGTGCAATCAGGCTGCACCATGCTGTTAATTATTTTGGATGATTTTGGTTCCCGTAAATGGAAGAATCTTACGATGTCAGCATGTTCTTAATCGACACAGCTTAACATACTACAATATCGTAAAGCTAAATTATGCCGCTAAAATCAGTAGTACAAGTCGGCCACTATATAAACCTGCAAGTGTACAGAATGAATGAAGAACACTCTGGAAGTAGAGGAGAGCAGAACCAGTACACTTAAAGTTTTAACGTTACAGTTTAAGTGCTAATGTGCTAAAAAGTATATGTGATTTTGTAAACGCCTAGTCAAGAATACAGTTAAATAATAATAATAATAATAATAATAATAATAATAATAATAATAATAATAATAATAATAATAATAATAATAATTTAATAATAAAAATAATAAATAAATAAATAAATAAATAAATTAAATAAATAATGATGTTCTTACATCAACTGCAGCTACTATCCTTCTATTATTTCTGCTGAGACTACTACTATCTATGCGTACTATCACTACTAATACTGCTACCTATACTATGCGTACTATCACTACTAATGCTGCTACATACTGCTACATATACTATGCGTACTATCACTACTAATACTGCTACATATACTATGCGTACTATCACTACTAATACTGCTACATATACTACTACAAATTCTATTTTCACTACCGCGTATACTGAGGCCCTGAGTGGTCTAAAGCGCTCTTTGTTACGGATCACTGCCATCTCACCTCTGTCTTCATGGGTTCGAGTCTAAGATTCAGCGAATGTGGATATGTGAGAAAGCCTGCCAGTAGCTTCTCGTGGGTCGGTGGTTCTTTCCGGTGATTTCCCGGTTTCTTCCTCCACCATTGATACTGATAGCCTATTGTGTGCTGCAAAATGGCCTTAAGCCCAACAAGAACAATTGCTTATGATGTACTTTCCGGTTTTACTTCTACTACTGCTAAAATGACTACTCCCGATTTTATCAATGCAACGTCTACGACTACTTCTACTGTTGCTAATACGGCCACCACTGATGATGTTACTACGTCTGCAACTACTACTACTACTACTACTACTACTACTACTACTACTACTATTGCTTAAATTGTTTAACAGATCTTTTACATTAATCTTGTTAATAAAATGTATACCCGTGTCTGCTGTCTATAATTTATCTCCCAACATGCATAGGCATTGGATTTTCTGACATCTTGTAGCAGTATTCCACACAACGGGTACCATAATTAAAATGCTAGTAGTAAGAAATTACAGAATCTGGTAACATGCTAATGTTTTGACTGTGACGAACCTGGCCACATGCAAAGACTTTGGGTGTGACGAGTCTGGCAACAGGCTAAGGTTTCGATTGTGATAATTCTGGCAACATGCAAAGACTGACTGTGACGAAATAAGGAAACTTTTCTTGATTTTCTCCATTATTCTGTATTGAAATGATGTCGCACCTTACCTGATTTTCTCAGTGTATATAAGGTTTGTATTCCTTATGTATTTTTACGTTATATAAAAGGGTATGAACGCATATGAAATTATACATATTTTTTTATACCGAAAAAATAAATTTTATTATCCCCGTAATAGATTGACCGTTGGGTCGGGGAACCATCCCAAGGTCACCTTACAATAAAAATTTCTTGTTTCAAGATAAACTTGGGATATTAAATATAATCTATGTTAAAAGAAAAAAATAAAAGACAACACACACACACACATGCATACACTCATGTAAACATGCATATGGCACAATGTTGGTGACATAAGCTTAAGAAAATAGTGTTTTGTTCCTGATTACCATCCAATCAGATACAAGTTACCTATTCATCTGTTGAGGTCCATTTCTTAAGAAATTGGTCCTCTTTTTGTTTACCTTAGCAGAATATTTTTCAACGTTCTTATACATTACAACTCTTTGCTTAAAAGCATAGATTGAAGGATTTTGCATATTAGAGTATAAATGTAATATTTTCCCAAAATAAGAAAGAAATTATATAAACTGTCCAGTTGTTCACTTCCTAAAAGTGTTTCATTTTTGACAAATGTACAATATTTGGGCAAGATGGTGCGAAATGATCAATAAAACTGTACCAGAACTGTGAAGTAATATTGCAATCATAGAAGAGATGTTCAATAATTTCATTCTCACTCTTGCAAAACGCACATTTGTTGTCTTCCAATATGTTTGTTTTTTTTGTTGTTTTTTTTTTTTAAAAAAAGACATTAGTAGCGATTATTCTATGGATTAATCTAAAGTTAAAAGAGATCAATTTGGTATCCTTGGTACAAAATTTCGCCCTGCTATAAATCTCAGACCACTCCGCACTGCTTATGTTTGTATTTAATACTTGCATCCAAGATTCTTGCTTACCAGTATGTTGTCTTTTAGCCCTTTTTAAAGATCGTTGTAAACAAACTTGAGTGAATTATATTTTTTTTCAGGTCCATTATTTTATCGTCCTGCCTTTCAAAATTTTTATGTGCTAAATGGTTTTTTATGGCTTCTTTTCATGCTTTTGGAATTTTGGATATTAAGTAACAGTATTTCAAGATGTCATCTCTTCTAGTTTTTTGTTTTATCATTTCAAAAGGTAATAAATTACCATGATCATCTACTAAATCATTAAAAATTTCAAAACTGGCTTCTGTCCAGGATTTGTAATGATAGAACATTCTAGGTAGGATAAAACTGTTCCTCTTTCCAATACGATACTGCCAAAATGACATCTCTCCAAAAGCTGCTTATAATGAGCCTAATAATTCTTCTAATTTCCTTCTCCATACGTTTCAAATATCCTTTTCATTTCTGAGTATAATTGTATTGACTAAGTTCTTACATATGTAATTATACCTTAATAATGATGCAAGTAGTGATTGATCTCGTTAACTGATAAACTAAATATCTTTTATAATATAGGGTTTGTTTTTTATTTGTGTCAGTTCTTACCACGAAACATTGACAAGGCATCACGTCTTTTCTTTCTGCTGTTATCCACAAAGAAATTAGAGAGTGAGGAATAAATATAAACTGATATGTAATAAATCATTAATCATCAAATTTCAAAACATCAAACTGGTAGCCTATAAAAATCTGACTCCATTGGTGAATAGATTGATTGCGCTAGAAATATTCAAAGCAATAATGTGTGTACGATTATGTATAAACTTGAATTTGAAGTTTACTTGTGATTGTATTCTTCTAATCTGTTAGTTGAAACTTACCATAATTACTTTCTCTAAGTTGGACCAAACCGCAAAACTGCACAAGTCCAGATCTGCTGTTGCATTGTGCGCTTGCATATCTGAGTTTATGCAATTTGTCATGAGTAATGAATAGAACCAACTATATACTTATCTACCCACACCGTATTGGTCTGTGCTGTTTTCAGTTCAAATGAACTTGTAAAAAGGTATAGATGGTATCTTTTGGCAAAGGAAACAACATGCAAGTTCTCTTAAAGAGAAAACAGACTAAGTTGTCATTATTTTTTGTTGCGTTAAATGCACCACTTTTACCACTCATGAAATAAAAGCCAAAAAAACTAACACACAATCTTCTCGACCATTCACATTCTTTTCAATGGAATAGTTCGGTCTGTTTTAAAAATGAAATAGACAAGAAAAGGATATTTTTATGGATCTCGTCAGTTATTTAGAAATGAAAAGGTAAAATATAGCTCAATTATAATTTGCAATAAAGAAAGAAAAGATAAAAAACCGAAAACAGAACAGAACTTCACAGAGCAGAAATAGCAGCATCCCAAATTTGTAACTAAACACAATAGTCGACTATATTGTACCAAAATCATGTTCTAGAAATGATAATGTTCAACATCGTTTTCAGTTATGAAGTAAAAATAGTGTTATTAATTTGCAACGATCTTTAACATTATGCAATATTCTGGGGTTCAGCATTCTCTTGAGTTATATCATTGTTAATTCAAATATATTGATAAACACGGCAACAAGTCAATAAAGGGACATTATGTTTGGCATGTTCACA